TTTTTATTTTGTTTTGTTTAGGGGGAGGGGTTTTGAGACAGGGTCTCTCACTGGCGTGAAGTTCACCAATTTGGCCAAACTGACCATCCAGCAAGCCCCAGGGATCTTCATGTCTCTACCTTCCCAGTATTGGGATTATAAGCACGTGCCACCACACCTGGCCTTTTTACATGTGTTCTGAGGATCTAACTTAGGTCCTCGTGCTTTCGAGACAAGCACATTACAACTGGCCTATCTAGCCTAAAGTGCTCTTTTATAATATGGAGTCTCTCAGGGCAAGCAAGACACAGGCTGAAAGCTACTGTTTTGTGTATCATGAAGTAACTTAGAACAGGGCACAGCCTGATCACACACCTGCAGCTGGATATAGTCTGGTGTGTTAGCTGGGCAGTGGAAAAGGAGCCAGGACTCTAAGAGGCCTCACCAGGCTGTGGGGGAGGCCACCCCTTTCTCCCATGCACCTAAATACCACTTTCTTATTCCTGAGACAGAGAGAGCTGAGGCCTTGACCCCCATCTGGCTTCTGCATCTGCTCAGTTCTTCATCTTCCTGGCTTTGTCCAGGCTACCCTGTGTAGGACACATTACCCTCTAGGGTCCAGGACATTGAAAGGGGCTCCCCAGCTCTACTTCTACTGTCCAAAGTGGTTTTGAGGGATCTAAGTCACTGCAGCAACAGCTGGGGCAGGAATCCAACTCTCCCTAGCACTGTCATCAGTAGAGACAGGTCCCTGGCATCTGGAGTGCCCTTGCTGGGAAATGGACCCAGACATCATTTTAATGGGAAAATAGTGGGAATCCAGGGCCAGACCTGTGCTGGCACTGCACAGGATACAAAAGAAAGAGACTCTCCAAGTGGAATTCAGTAGGTGATGCTGATTTCATCACAGAGACCTGTAACCCACATCTGCTTATATCACCATGGGTCTCAGACTTGAGCACCAGTGACATCCAAGGCAGCCCTTCTTGGTTTCCATCTGTTTGCTCTACTTCCCCATCCACCCTTTCCTAGCATGTCCTCTCTGCCAAGGTACACTAACTCCTTGATATATACTCACAAACTGTCCCATGCTTAACTCTAGGAAAACCATAAAATCCACCTTCAACAGATGGGTCTCTTCTGCTTGCCACAGCTTTGCCTATGCTCCAGCCCTGAGCAGGGCTCACTACCCCCTGGTGCTTCCCCCATTGCCTTGTTCTGCCCTCTGCACCTTCTCAGGATGCTCAGCCCTTTGTTCATTCATCCTTCAGTCCCCTCGCTGCCAAGATACACAGATAGGTGGCCTTGACCTCAGGGAGCTCACAGTCTAGCCAGGAGGATGGAAGGAGCTAGCTAACTTGCTTACTCTGTAACAGGTCTCTAGAAAACCATCACCAGCAGGCTGAGATGTGGAAGGGGATTGATGGGATTGCTCTCCTCTCCTTTCTTTACTGCAGGAGAACTGGATAGCACATTCCCAGCCATGTGAGATGAAAAGTGATTTCAGAGACACACCACAGGCATAAAGAACCTGGCGAAGGCTTCATGAAGACAGTGACATTTAGCCCCATCCCAGTGGCAGGCTTTTATCCAGCAAGGAAGGAAGGGAACCTTTATCATACCGCTTGTGAACACAGAACTCAAGTTTATTTCTCCTTATTGTTCCTAAAGTGTTATTTTGTTTCCCTAAAGAGACACTGAATTTACCGAGGCCAAGAGCCAGATTGTCTCCATTGCCCTCATCTCTGGGGCCCTGATGCATCTTCCTTCTCTGCTCACCCATTCTCCGCCTGAACCTAATGTTTTAGAAAGTCTTTCTTGTGTCCGTATCATGAAAACAATATTTCTTTTTCTATTTCCAAATATAAAACTATTTTATGACTTTGAGTCTCTCTCCCTCACGAAGAGTTTGGGGATGTCGGCTAGTTCTGGGGACCTTTTATGAATTTCTTCTAGAAAAAATAAGCCTTCCAAAAAAGGGGAAAGGCTGGAGAAGGACACATTTTACAAAGAGAATCTCATCCTGTTCAGCCTGCAATCCAAAACCAACTGAAAGACACATAATGTGTTTTCTATGAGGTTGAAAAAGATGCATTCAGTGCTACAAGCTGAAATCAAAATCAGCATGGGCAGGGAGCTGACAGTGTAGCTGTGGAAGATTTGGGATATCAGGTGAAACTTAGCCTGATGCCACAGGCCCCTCCAAAGCACCCCAGAAAGCTGCAGCTGCCTCTGAGTAAACACCAATTTCTAGAATAGAGCCAGGGGCAGGGCCACAGCTCTGCCTGCCATTGTTCCAGGCTGGTCCAAGACAAAGAGAAAGATGACATTAGGCTGAAAACTGGAGGAACAGGCAGAGCAAGAAGGCCCATGACCATGAGGACACCATCAGGTTGTCCCATTAGACACCAGGAGTTACAAAGCAAGTGCAGGCAATGGCCTGCCGGAGCACTGACCACACTGTCCCTTCTTGTTTCTTCCATGTTGTGTGGAGGACAGCCACCCTCAAGATAGCCTAAGATGATCTGGGAAATCCCATCTCCTTTTGTAAGTATTTATTTAGAGGTAGAAATGTGACCCAGTTTTGAGAATATAGTATGGGGGGAAGGAGGCCGTTAAGGAAGCTTCTAGAAAAGGTTTCCCAACTCTCTGGATACCATCATGTCTATTATCCTACCATTGGACTATATAATATGAAAAAATATGTTGTTTTGTTTTGTTTTGTTGTTCTGTTCTAACCAATGCACCTACTGAGCTTTTAGAGAGCCCTTGTATAGTCAGGAGACAGGACCAGCTCTAGCCCATAAGAGACTTTGTA